ATTACCATCTCTATGCGCAACCATATCTTATAACCATAAGTGATCTAGGGATTTTTCTTAAGTGCAATTATAGGATAAATGCTTACTCTTAAGATAAAGAAATGCCTTATTAACAATATAATTCCAATAGATCGTATTTACAAGTAGAATACGTCCAATCAAATTGGAACTCTGGGTATACTACTCTAACAGTGGGGGCACCCTGCCCATAGACCGAAAACCTGAAAGCAGCTGCGCAATTATCATATAAATGAACATCCCAAATTATATTTTCTACAGAGCACCAATCGAATGATTCGTTCACCGATTCGATCTTTCGAGGAAGGTTAGTCGAAGTATCTTGCGCGTGTATTCAACCACAAAAAGAAAAGAAAACAATCTCCTAAACACTCTAATTCAAAGATTGGTTTCAGTTATCAGCTAAGAAAATCTAGAAACACAATTCCCAAAATTAACTAAAAAACACGAATCAATGATGATAAAGGGGCTAGGGAGTCGGGGATAATCATTTAGTTCAAAACACAATTAACGGGTAAGTTATCATTCGGTTAAAGGACTCGAATAACCTACTCGTTTAGAGATTCATCCTCAATAACTTTTCGTAACAAGAGAACAAACATGAACAACAACAAATTAACGAGTCGTTTAACACATGGGCAATACAATTACGAACAAACCTAGTTTATACGAGCCTATATCGATCAACTCCTCCACTTTCATTTCTAAAAGTTGGTTAAACCAGACTAATAGGTGGTTAATCGGCGAATCTACTAGAATTAACAACATCAAACTCGAATGAATCATATTCAATTGAAAATCAACAAGTTGAAGTGTCACTTTTCAACATCATTCAACATTCAAAGATGATAATTAAAGAAACCCTTTTAAAATCAACTCCCATAAATTGAATGATCAATAAATACGATAATCACAATGGAATCCAAAACATTATCCCCTAACCCTATAAAAAAATTAGCCAAACATATTGAATTCAACAAAAACATTTACAACAATCCAAGCATTCATATTCAGGGATTAGATGAAAAGGAAAACTTACGATTGATAAAGAAATTGAATATTGAATCTAAAGTACAAGATTAATCCGGAAAATAAAAAAGAAATCAAGATGAAATCCAAGTGTAGGATTCAAGTTCTAGAGAGAAAAATTAAGGAAAAACGAGTCTGGAGTTGAGAAATTAGGTCTGGAGCGCATCCCAATAAAGTGCTCAAAAAATAGACGGAAAAACTCTCAAATTTCAAATACAGGTCGGGTCGACCCGTGGGTCGCGAGTCTGCGTACCTAGTCGTTGGGACTCTGTTCGACCCGCGAGGCGCGAGTCTGTCCGCGGGATGCGAATCTGGCAGGTCGCGGGTCTGGGATGCTTGGGAGCTGCTGGCCTCTGTTACTTTTGCGGATCGGGGGAAGCCTCGCAGGGCGCGGGCCTGGGAGTTGGACGCTCTGTCCAAGACGCGAGTCGCATGAGTCCTAGCGGGGCACGGGTCTGGCAGGTCGCGGGGCGCGACGATGATGCGAGGTGCGGGTCTAGCAGGTGAGGCATGGGGCTGCTATGCACGACTTTGCGTTTCGGGCTCGCTTGAGGTCGTCTAAACTCGAAATTGAGTTCCGTTTATTCTTACCCGTCGCCAACAACCCATTATAGTTAATTATGCTCGCACAACTAATTTTTTCCTTGAAATCATATCCACTCGAAGCTGCCGACCTGCATACCACAACACGAACGCAAAGAAAATCGAGAAATACAAACAAAGACACAGACAAACCCAAAAATAAAGA